TCATAATAAAGATTTATTAATTTAAATTCATTATCAAAATAATGATAGTCACATAATATAATCTTGTTTAGCTCTACCACTCCAAATATCGGCAGTTAGAGCCACACTAATATGACAAGTATGAAATTTATTTTTTAATTCTAATTTCATTTTTTTAAACAATTTTATTAATCATTTCTAGTTGCAGTTTTAGAATAACTTTTAAATCCTGGAAAAAATGAATTTTGAACAAATCTTTCAAAATATTTATCTTCTGCCATATTAATAGGTTGATCAGATGCAGCAATATAGAAAGCTATGTTCCCTATATACATCAGAATTATAACGCCAAGTAGTACCCATATTAGTTATTTGAGTTTGATTGCTTTCTCTATTTCCATGTTGATTAATATGTTTATTAGCATGCCTTTCTAAAGTACTAGTATCATTACCTGAATCAGCTTTATAACATTTGCACAATATTTGCATCTTGCTTTCTTGAATTGAACGCCATTTTCTGTCTCGTAAACTTGTCGAAATGCGCCAAACGTCTGATGTGTGTCTGTCTTCTCGCTTTCGACGGCAGTTGATGATCCCCCTCAGCTTGAGATGAGTTGGATGAGGACGACGATTACGAGGAAGACTTCTGAACCACCAGGAGCTGTGGAATCGACGACATATTTTGAGGTGTATCGGATTCTGAGACTGGGATTGGGACACCGGACTATTTGAATCTCCTGCATTCATAGTAATTAGCGGGACTAGAACTAGAATAATAGTTTTCTTCATCATTGAAATTGATGGGAGAGAAATATCTATCCATTGTAGACTTGTAGTTGAAAAAAAAATATATGTAGAAGAAATAAAATAAAAAAAAGAGAATTGGAAATTGGAAATTTGGAATTTGGAAAATTGGAAATTTGGAATTTGGAAAATTGGAATATGAATTGAAAATTGCAAAACTAATAAAAATTAAAATAAGAGCAAATTGATAACAAAAAGATTAAGAGAATAAATGAAATGAGAGAATAGAGATTAGAGATAATGATAGAATGAGAGAATTTGAGTTGTGAGAAAAATATGAGAGTTTAGGCCAATTTATAGAAAAATGGGGAAAGAAAATGACGAAAAAACCCCTCCAACGACTATAAAACGGCTATATTTCAAGGGTAAAAGGGTAATTTAAAAAATAAATTAATTTTATATATTTTTTTAATTTTTTTTGGCCAACCCGCGGGTTGGCCGTTGGCAACAGACCAACCCCATGCAACTCGTCGGGTTGGCGGTCCTCCTATAAAGAGGACAAAATAGCAACCCGCGGGCCGCTGGGTTGCCATTTTACAACCCGGCCCGCCCGGGGGTTGCTGGCGAGTTGAACCCTCTTCATTACGGGCCGAGTTAAGGTTGACCCGTCTAACCCCCCATTTTTTCCACCTCTAAAACTCTCATTCTCCTACAGTTGCTAGATTCGACCATCACCGTCGAAATCTTGTTTCATTGCGCATGACTGGCCAAATCTAGCTGGTCGTGTGTCGCTATGGCCTTTTTCCGGCTAAATTCACCACTGATCTAGCCGTTGACGACCACTAGGGGTGGAAAAATTCGGTTAACCGGATTCTTAAACCGAACCAGTTTTCGGTTTCAAAAATAAACTAAACCGAAACCGGTCCGGTTTCGGTTATTAACCAGTTATAACCGAACCGAAATTCGGTTCGGTTAACCGGTTAATAAAATTAATGATGGGCTACCTTTTCGGCCCAATTCACACACTCCACTTATGGCCCATAAGTTATGGGCTGCCTTTTGGCCCAATTCGCCCACTCCACTTTGCCTTCTTTTTTTTTCTAGGTTTTTTTTTTTTAACATACTTAAAGTTATAAACTTATATTACTGTAAATTCAATTACGTTAATAAACTTATATCTATTGTAATTGAATTTGAATTCATATAATTTGAATGTACATCAAAATCAAATATTAATAATTTAAAATTACAAATCAAGATTGTAAAAACAAAGATAGATACAAACTCAATTACAGACTAAAAATATACAAACTATACAAACAAAAAAATAGTCCCCTGTTGCCAACTTAGTTTCCACAAATCCACAAAATCAAACATAATAAACACATTTCCACATCCTAAAATTACAAATCAAACCATGAAATGAATAAAATAACTAAGAAGTGAGAAGTGAAATGAACATAATCTTTATAACGTATAAGTTTCAAGACTCTCCTCCATTTTATGTTTTTTTATGGCATGACCCTCTAGTTTTGTTTTCCTGTTTAGAGAAACCAAGTTTAAACCTCAAACCTTGTGGAGCAAACCAAGGCATAACCGCTTGGTTAACCACTGATGAGTAGGCATAACCCTTAAAACTTTGATTTATATACTTTCATAGCAGAAGCAATAGAAAAAGGAAGAATGGTTACGCGACTGGTGACTGCCGACCGTTAAGCAACAGATCGATGAGTAAAGATCGGTGGCTTGAGTAACGTGAGAAATTTGTGTGGCTACTGGCTGAGGCTGACCGCGTGACTCCGGCGTGAGAACTGAGAAGTGAGAACGAGATCTGAGAGTGAGACTGAGAGTGAGAGACAGTGAGGGTCCGAGAGAGAGTGAGTCAGTGAGAGACAGAGACTAAGTCACTAAGACTCTGAGAGTGTGGGAGACTGACAGTTACTGAGGTGAGTGTCTGAGTATCGGCGCCGGCGAGTGAGTTTGAGATCTGAGTAGTGAGTATTGTCGTACTGGAGCAGTGGAGCTGTCGAGCTGGAGACTGGAGTAGTGAAGACTTAGACTGAAGACTGAAGTGAAAGTGAGTGAGAGTGTGACCGTGAGCGTGAGAGACTGAGAGTGTTAGGGATATTGCAAAATGCAAATGCAAAATAAAACGTTAAATAAATTTTTTTAAATTTCGGTTCAGAAAACCAGTTCCGGGTAATCGATTTTCTTTTTTTCAAAAACCGAACCGGATTTCCGGTTTTTTTTAATATCCGAATCGAAACTGAACCGAAACCGAAATAAAATCGAATTTTCGTCCGGTTCAGTTTCCGGGTTTTTTTTTCCACCCCTAACGACGACATCTAGTTGTCAATGACGGCTGAAGTATGGTTGTCGTTGATGGCCATATATTAGTCGTCATTGACGGCTAGATATGGCCAAAAATATAGCCGTCAATAGCCAGATCTTCTATAGCCGTGGATCTAGCCTTTTCCGACCAGATCCATACAAATCTGGCCGAAAAAAGCCAGCTCGATGCACTACCGTCCAGATCCACCAATAGTGTGCCATTACGCTAGATTCCAATCACTTTTCGCCGTGCTTGCCCAGACTCTGTTATTACTATAACTATAGAGGGATTTTTATTATTTAATTATGGGTAAAGGGAATTATTGTTATTAACCATATTTTTTTATTATAATGAAAATGTTATCCACATAGGATAGTGACTTCGCTATGATCTCTATAATTTCTCTATACTATCTAAACTTGTGATAAATATTGAATACTCTCAAAATTTGTTGTTGTTCAATCACCATCACATCATATATAAAATGATGGTTGCCTCTTAAATTCCCTGCTAGAGTGCTGGTAACACTAAATATAACATAACCATTTGAAAATCAAATATGTAATATATAATCACTTATAAATCAATTAAAATTGATATTTTGGGGACCGAGTTCATCATATTATCAAATATACACAACCATGAAGGTGAGATAGAGAATCCCATGTGAGTTGCCTTGTATGGAGAATGACATATATCTTCTTTCACCCACAATTTACAATTGAGTTGTCATAATCTATATATCTACTTTCATAAATTTCTTTCACAACACATTATCCGAAACCCACCACCAACCATTCCATTATTTTCTTTTGATTTGTATTGAAATTTTGAGAGGACCACCAACTTTCTAACTAGGTTAATGAATCAGATGATTCAAATATTACAAATTGACCCATTCCAGAAATCAAATCTTGTTTTCAAGAAATATTATAATTATTCAAAAGTCGTTGGAGTTAGGCAGCCCAAAATTTTCTTCTGAACCTTCACTTCAAAGTGTCGTGTAACTAACACTAGGGTCACTTCGTTTACCAAATATACCACAAAATCAACGCATCAAAGAAGAACGAAAAGGGAAAAGCCATTCACCAACCCACAGCACTATCTTTAAAATAATGTAATCCCATATTCCCAATTTCTAATTTCATATGTTTAGCCATTCATTGAGCCTTTTTTATATTCATTCTTGCGAAATGTAAATGTACACATAACATTAATTACTTAAAGGACTTGAAACGACACCATGCCATGACTACAGTCGCTCACGCTCACCCCCGCTGACTCCACTCCAAAGTCCAAATCTATACAACCTGAACCTACATCATCAAGTCAGTACAACTGCCTCTCCCTCTCCGCCTACAATTTTGAAACGTTTATTTATAAATCTTAATTAATTTGATAGTGGTCAAATATATTTGAAATTTTAAACATATTTCATTGATTAAATTGTTCTATATTCAAGTGTTAATATGATAATACACTGTTTTCTTTTTTTCTTTTTGATGATAGAGTATATTCGAACCAGTTTACGTGTATCTTAACTAATCTTTCGAGACCTTAAAATGAACGATCAAATAAATCTTTTCAATAATCATCCTTATTAGTGTCTGTAAATATCCAAACTTATAGACTGATATTAAACCTCTTTATTCTTTTACCATCGAAACAATAATACACTGCTTTCCCTACAATGTATAACAACTTATGATTAAGTAAACCAATGCATTGAACATTTCCTTGCTAGTTATCTAGAACTCCATGTTTCTTTTTTTCTTTTTTTTCTGGTGACTAACCCGATTCATTGCGTGTTTGTTCAACGTTCTTAGTCTTTTCATCATAATTACGACATTGTAACCATGCCTAACACCAGTAATTTAATTTTGGTAAGTTTTTTAAATATTTTATGTAAATATATAAACTACTGACAGCTCCATATATATCTACCCACTATCAAATATTTAATTAACTTTATTCCTCTATATAAACCCTCCAAAAACTGCTCTTTCTCTTCAACCACATTGCCAATATGAAGACACAAAAACAAAATCACTTTGCTACTGAAGCTGAAGCTGAACTTGCAGAAGCTCCCATCCATGGAGACATCTTGCAGGCCATATTCTCTCACGTGCCTCTCATCGACCTTGTTCCTGCTTCTCACGTGTCCACAGCTTGGAACCGTGCTGTTTTCTCTTCGCTTCGTCACTTCAACAAGATCAAGCCATGGCTAATCGTTCATACTCAGAGAGCGAGGTCCCCTCACGTGACAACCACGCACGCTTATGATCCACGCTCGAACCTTTGGATTAAAATCAACCAGCCTTCAATCGACTACGTCGCAGCTCTCCGATCCTCCCACTCCACGCTCCTCTACATGTTGGCACCGTCCAAGCTGTTGTTTTCTTTGGACCCGCTCAATCTGACGTGGCACCACGTGGATGCCCCACCCGTCTGGAGGAAGGACCCCATTGTTGCCATGGTGGGCCATTACGTCATTATAGCCGGCGGCGCGTGTAATTTTGAAGATAGCCCACTTGCCGTCGATATGTACAACGTTGAGACTCGCGCTTGGGAATCCTGCGAGAACATGCCAGCGATTCTCAAAGACTCCGCAGCCTCCACCTGGTTGTCTGTCGCGGTGAATTCCGATAAATTTTTCGTCGCTGAGAAATTCTCAGGCTTGACTTACTCATTCAATCCACAGACCAAGTCGTGGTACGGACCGTACGATTTACGTCCAGCTGGTCAGAACATACTCTTCTCAGTCATCGCTTTCGCCGGAAACCGTCTGATTCTGGTGGGACTCACCGGATTTGCGGGGAATGTTCAAAGCGTGAAGGTTTGGGAAGTGAAGGGCGAGTGGTTGGAGGAGTGTAAAGAGATAGGAGAGATGCCGCAACCTCTGGTTGGTAAGCTTAAAGGGAGCTGTTGTTTAGCGTCGATTGAGGCAACGGCGATGGAGGATGTTGTGTACATTCACAACCCGTCGAATCCTGAAGAATTGGTGAGGTTGGAGATGGATGAAGGAAATTGTGAATGGGGAAGTATAAAAAATGTAGTGGTGAATGATGGGAGTCGAATAATGGATAGATTTGTTTTCTCTTGCTCGAGTGTTGGCATGGGGGATTTGTGTAGGGCTTTAATGCATAAGAATCGAAGATTTTCTGTAAAAGAGATTGATCACTGACTCTTCCTGGGTTCAGTTTGTCGGCAGTCAATTATTTTGTTTCATCTTGCTTGGATTGATGTAATAATTACTTGTGTCTTATTTATGAGATAACTACTTTTTAAGTTGCACCCATAGATTTACGAAAGTGACAATTTGATCCCATTTTTTAAGAGATGATATATAATTTAGTAGAATAATCATATCCTTATCAATAAAATAAAATCAAAGTTGATGACAACCATAGAATGGTAATCCATAACCCAAATATTTTGTGGTTGTTATGAAAAAGATGGATGGTGAGTGGTGACAAAGAGGAGTGTGAAGACGCAATCAGGCACAGTAGAGAGTATTTTGTTTTCTTTTTTTAATTGTAATGAGTTAATAAAAGGATAATAAATTGTTTTTATACATGCATTGTCAACATGTGTTCAAAAGTTGGTAGTAATTGAACTGTCGCGGACGTCATTTTACTTGATCCATTATCCTTGTATGAACGGCTCAAACCGAGTATTGTACGTGTGTTTGTTTTATTATTTTGAATAATATTTTTGAAATATTATTGTTAAGTTGAGTTGGTTTATTATTAGAATGTAGAATTTAAAAATTAACAAAAAAAAAATCCTTAGATTTATTAATTTAGCTAAACACCCCTAATAACAAAAAGTTTATAAATTGACAAAAACACTCTCATTCTCTTACAGTTGCTAGATTCTGACCACCACCGTTGAAATCTTGTTTCATTGTGCATGATCGGCCAAATCTAACTGGTCGTGTATCACTATGACCTTTTCTGGCCAGATCCATCACAGATCTGCCATTGACGGCACATCTAGCTGTCAATGACGGCCAAAGATATGATTGTCGTTGATGGTCATATATTAACCATCATTGACGGCTAGATATGGCCAAAGATATAGTCGTCAATAGCCAGATCTTTAGCCGTGGATCTGGCCTTTTTCGGCCAGATCCACACAAATCTGATCGAAAAAGGCTGGCTCGACGCACTACCAGCTAGATCCAGCCAATAGTGTGTCATTACGCTAGATTTCAATCACTTTTCGACGGTGGTTGCCAAAATCTGATAAATGTGGATGGGTGGAGGTGCTTTTGTCAATTTATAAAACTTTTTTGTTTGAGATATTTAGTTAAATTAATAAACTTATGGGGGTTTAAAATAGTTGAATATTATAGGATATGATTTTGAGAATAAGGAAACAAAATTTTTTTTTTTTTTTTTTCGGAATAAAAATAGATTACTTTAAAAATAGTCAAAGAAATGCAGCCGCCATTTATTTATTCATAAAAAATTCAACATATTGGAGTGGAAACAGATGTTTTTGGTAGCCATTAGTCATTAGACGATGAAATACAAAAGTTAATTCTGTCATAAGGTCGTTTTTTATGAATTATTTAAATGATAATTTCATTTTTCATCAACCACTTTGTATATATGCCATTGCATTTCCGTAATGTATGACTTAATTAGTTTTACCTTATAAAATGCCTTTCCACCCAATTTCAAGTTCTTTTGAAACTCTATACAGTTCTTCTTTGACTATCAAATCTTTCGATTTTCATCAATCACTTTATATATTAATTAGGGGTGATGTTTTTTTGAGTGCCGTAGTGAATTGAACAATGGAAAGATTAATCAAAAACTCAATAACAGAGAAGATATATATAATATTGTATATAAATAAAGGAGCAGTGAGGTTTAGAAAACAAAGTGGATAGAAATGGACATTTTAAATTATTATAACAAATGGACATGGTCCAATAAACAAAGATCAGGCGAGAATAACGACAACTAAAACCTCTCTTTCAACAAAATACTTTCTAATTGAGCTTTGCAGGAAGGACAAGTGTTAATCAAAATGATAAATTCAGATTTCTTTTGCTTCTGGAATCTGTTAAATGGTATCATATTATTAACAATTTCTTTAATCCCGGCTTGAAGAGTGTTGTGCACGTCATATTTGTGTCACGCGTCCCTAAGGTATATTAAAGCTTAAAGGCCAAGATCCTTCCACGTGGTGTCCAATAGATGCTTACCTTCTTCCGCAAGGTGGTCACTGTTATAAACATGGGTTAAGCTGTCATTAGCATGACACAGTCTATCATAAGTATGAAGATTACTGACTCAGATCCTGATTAAGAGGGATTATGCGTTTAAGTAACCTCGTAACACCTACTTTCAATTACCCCTATTAGACGAACCAAGTATAAAAGGAGCTCACAGCCTCCGTTTCAAGGGATGAATTCCAGTTTTAACAAAGTTCAGGAGGAAAATACACTCATATGTGTAAAAGAGCGTTAAGTGAGAGAAGGTCGCTAGAGTTAATATATTCCATTTAGCTCGCCCATGTTGCCCTTGTAATCTCATTCAATTTTGTAACACTTCTAAGCAATAACAAAAACAGTAGATGTAGGCTTGGTTTTAACACTGCCGAACTACTATAAACATATCTCTTGTTCTTTACTTTTATACATTGTTTTATTAATCTCGCTAGTTACCTGTAACTATGCGCACATCTTACCTGACCCCTTTCACTGGGTATCTCTGATTGTTACGAATTTTCGCATCAACGAAGAGTTTGTTTTCATACAAAAAACTTTAATAAGTTATATTTTATATCTTTAATTAATACATTCATGATATAGTAGAGATTTATAAATCTTCAATTATCTTCTAGTTTGAGAGAATTGTGCGTTTCCCAGTTTGATTCTTCAACAGCTTCTTTTACCCTTCCGCCTTTACGACTTCAATTTTGGGCTTGCTTGAATAAAGCTATCTTACCAAATATTATTAGGCCCATCAAATCCAGCTCCTATATATAATATCAGAAATATTGGTGTTACTTAAGCCCCAATAATAGTTTTTCAAAAAATTATATATATTTTTTAATTTATAATTACCGAAAGGGCATCCCAACTATTAGAAAAATCTATTTCTTAATACCCTAAATTCCTTTCATAAGTTTGTTTGGAATTATATTTTAAAATTAAAAGTATTCTGAAGTTGTAGAAGATTATTTCAATCATTAGAAGACCATGTTTTAATTTTTTTTTTGGTCTTTGTCATCTCTGTTTCTTTGGTGAAAAAAAAAAAAGCATGAAAAAACCTGATACATAAAAAGACTCTTGTTACTCCCAATAGAAACTTATCATAGCTACGAAGTAGCAAAGATTTACCGATCTTGGTAATATAGAGAACAATCCCAGGAAGAAAAACAGGAAAGTGGAAGCAAAAGGAATGATAAGTGCAAATTGGCTGGACATTCCCGGTGATAAAAAAAATTATTTTTTCTTTAAAAGCCAAAAATAGAAAATAGATAAAAGGATGTTTTCGGAATAAATTAGTATCTATTTATTTTAATTTTAAATACAATTTATGTTAAAAAGGTTTTAAAAGTGTTTTGATGGTTGAGATAACTAACACGGGTTTATAACAATTTTCTCCTTCAGATTTGAGGAAAGTAGGATTTTGGAAAGTAACAATTACACCGAAAAATTGATTACTTTACTATATAAGTTGAAGACTATAGCACCCTCTGTCTAATTATAAAACATATACTAAAATAAAATGAGAAAGTGAAGTATACTAAAGTATTTCTTGAAACAAAGTTTGGGATTCTATTCAGTTTTCATTTCTTCAATTTAAAAAATAAAAACAGAAAATAATATATAATTAGAAGAAAAGGTAGAGTCATGTTATTGGCCTCCCATAATTTATCTTAATAAGCCTCATTTCTAATTTAGCCCATTAAAATTTTTAAACATATCTAAATAAACACCATATATTTACAAAATAATCCTTACTATTATACTTTTGAGTCTTATTCAGTAATTTTCTTAAAAGTATTGGTAGCTATTTTAATCTATATATTTTTTGTGTTTATTTAAATTTATTATGTTGTTAGGATTATTTGTAAGATTCTTTTTTTAGCTTTAATTTTTTTTCTAAACTTTCAATTTAATTATTTGAAATTTTATTTTAGGAATAAAGATGATAGGGTGTATACAGCATAATTGAAATGAATGAAATGTTAACTTTTTAAAAATATATATAAAAAAAAAATGGAAGGAAGGGCACTTGTGGAATTCATGGGGTGTCATAAGAAAAAAAATTAAGATAATACTACATTGACAAACATTTTTATTAACCTTCTCTTATAAACATGATGTGGTAGCTCGTAATTGGTCAGTTTGTAATGAGTCTCACTTACCGAATAATAGGTCTGACTAGACCAATGTATTTGTGAGAGAAAATTAGTGAGAACGATTTATCCGTCTATCTTTATTGAAAAATTTAATTTTAAAACTTTGAAATGTAGTGTTTTAAGAAATAGGGGTTCTTTTAGTCCACTTAGTGGAGTGCTAATGGCTCCAGTCATGTAAAAATTATCCCGGGCTGCAAAAGAAAGCAAGGCCCGGACGGAAATGTGGGCCATCACCATCTCAAGCCCATCGCAAAGTGTTTAGTTCAATGAATGAATGAAGTTGAGGCAGTGAAGTGAGATTCGTTATTGATGCAGAGACGAATTTGTTGTGCCATAAATTATACGACACGTTACCTTCCACCGCATAACTACAAAAAACGTCATTCAACTCTTCAACCAAGGACAAATTACTTTACTCTGTCTCACCATTTCAATAACATAAAAACCCATCATCAGTGTGAAGAAGAAGCCACCATTCTTTTCTTGGCATATTTTGAACGCAATTCACAGTTACATTTCGACCATAATTTCGAGTAATATAAGACAGAAAAACGTGAGCAAACATCATTGACAATTGCAGTTCACCATATATCTCTAGATTAGTTGTAAGAATCAAATAATTTATAAAGAAATGTGATATTGAAATAGAATAAGAGCTCAGTTGGTGTGGGTAGTTGGTCCACCATCAGTTGAAGAAAAGACAGACAGACAATTGGCCTCATAAAAATATCAAATCATCTTCTTCACAAAGCTATATCCACAAATAAAATTAAATAAAAAAGTAAAATGTAATCTTTATCTTTGCCGAGTGCCGACTATTCCTCTGCTTCAACTGAAAAATCAAACAGTTCCCCTGTTGAACCAACTTTTTCTTAAATTTCTTTATTCAAACACTGCTTTTGTTTTTCTTCTTTTCATTTCCTTTCATGGCAGAAAAAAAAAAAAAAAAAAGGTTTGAAAAAGGTATCAACAAATCATGCTACAGCATCTGATGTTAGATATTGAGGCTCAATCAAATCTCATTGCCTAGGGTTTGGTGTTTACTTGGACCCATCTACTTTCTGTCTTTTGATCAACTTTTTGTTGGTTAGAAGGGGAAGGGGACAAAGAAAGATATAAAAGATGAGGGGGTGTGATTAATAGTTGGAGGTGGGTATTCAATGATTATTTTTCCCTAAGCGACCAAAATACCCATTGAAACTGGGGTAGTCTCGAGCATTAGCATAGTAAATTGGAATTCTGTGGTTGATTTGAGCAATACAATGAGTGAGCATATTTGCATAAACAAGGTTAAAGCAGTAGATTTGAGTTGGAGAATATTCAGTTTTACCAAACCGACAAAAATACTCTTGGTCTTGGGGTTCTACCTTAAAGCACATCAAGGCATCATTCTTATTAACTTATTCTTTAATTAAACCTAACTTTTTTCTTCCAATTCAATCCCTTCCATGTGCAACTATTTACTTTGTACGCTAATTTCTTGTAATATTGAACCAGTAATTGAAAATATATATATATATATATATTTTTTTTAACCAAAAGGTAAAAATGATTTGAAGAAGAATTATTTATAGAAAAAAGATGAGATAAAATGTGAAAGGGTGGTGAGATTGTTTACCCAGAAAAAGGGAAAGTTTACTTGATAAAGAGAAACATATTAGTGAGAAAAGTTGGTAATAAAGATAGGTTAAAGAGGAGATAATTGTCCTTTTGCATTTAGAAATACCAGAAATGTCCACATGGGGAAGGCATGCGGCGTTTGTTACGGTGGGGCGCATTTTAGAGATTCTCTCACGCTATCCAATAAAGAATAACAAAGGTACAAAACCAAGCTGCTGCTGCTGCTGCTGCACGCACCTCCACATATTTCTTTTTAATTATTTAAATAAATGGAAGTATTTTTCACTTCATTAACTAAAGTAAAGTAAAGAAAGAGAGAGACCAATGGGCAATTACCATTTACCATCCCACATGCCTCCATTCTCTTTCTTTCACTATGGGGCTATGGCTGTGTGTAGGCTTTTGAAATTTGGTTAATATAGTCCGTGTGATGGGACTGTCTGATTTTGATATATAAATATATTATATTAATAAACTTCATCATCAATTACTGTTCTCATCTATTATTGCTTGCTTTATCCGGTGCATCTTAGCACGTAACATTCCCCTCTAACTAACGCACATTACCCCCTCCCTAATCAGAATTAATTCTCCTAATCATACCCATTACTAGTGCGCTTTCTTTCACATTCATTGATTCAATATATCTGATTCTTTTCTGCTTGGTCAAATATTGTAAATTTCATAAAGTTGGTTGAATTTGACATTAATAATTCATTGTCCCCTGTAGATAAATATTATTAATCATCCTAACAACCACTCACATCCCTACCAATTTATTTTAAAATTTTAGAGGGAGATTTTTTTTTTTTTTTCAAATAAAGTTTTTAGACTAGTTTGTGCACACTTTAATTAATTATCAGGGTCTATTAAACAAACATCTAACAACTCAAAAGACTAAATAAATCATATATTTCTGTATGTTTGGCTTAATTTTTTATCCCTATTCTGATCCTATTCTCCAATAATGTTTGGCATATTATCCAGAAATATTACCTTATTTTTTTAATTACATTTAAACCCCATAGGTTATTAATTTCACTAAATACCCCCTGAAAAAAAGTTTAAAAATTAACAAAAATCTCCCATCAACCCAACAGTCAGATTCTGGCAACCACCGTCGTGATAGCCGAATCTGTACAACGGCCTAACTTCCGACCAGAATGGCCGAAAGTTCACCGCTGTGGCCTTTTCTGGCCAGATCCACCACGGATCTGGCTGGAAAAGCCAGATCTGGCCGTCAGTGACGGCCAAAGAAATGGCTGTCGTTGCCCGAAAACGACGGCCACATCTTTGGCCATCGCTGACGGTCAAAGATGGCCCTCGTTTGGCCTTTTTCGGCCATCGACGGCCATAATAGACCGTAGATCTGGCCTTTTCCGACCAGATCCACCATGGATCTGGCCGGAAAGGCCATAACGATGTGTTACGGCACAGATCCGACTGGTCTGTGCCGTAACGAAATTTTCCGGCCAGATTCCGGTAGTGGTGGCCGGAATCTGACACTACAGTGGTGGGGGTGTTTTTGTCATTTTATTGTTAGGTCTTTAGTTAAATTAGTAAACCTAAGGGTTTTTTTACAAATTTTTAAAATTTACCTCGATAACTCCCCTATCCAATAACCAATACTATCCCTAAAATCCTATCCAAATACTAAACTAAACGCACCCATTATTGTTATAGGTGACCTTAAGATTTGATCCAAAAATTTAATTAATATATTATTAAAAATAGTTTCATTTACTAAATAAGTCTTTCTTTAAAGTTTAAAATATTTTTTTGGTTTTTTATTTCATTATTTTTTCGTAAAAATAATGAAATTCGCACACATTTATAATACAAATTTTTGTATAATTGATTGATAAAATTGATTTGATATTTTTGTACTAATTTAATAGCTTTTAAACCATTTACCTTATTAGATGAGTGACCGACAATTATGTTACTATTTTTTTTTTAACAATAATATGAAGAAAAAATAATAAGGGTTTATAATATCGGGCGCATTTTAGCAAAGGTGCCATTAGTGCAGAAGCTTTAACAGAATGTAATAATTTAATTTAAAAAAGAAAAAAAGGCAGAAGGCAACAATAGCCAAGACAATACAAGCACGTGACCTGCCAAACAAGTTACTGCAATTTCTTTGCAAAATCGACAGTAGACATCCCTTTGTTCCTTCTGATCAGTCCCAACACTCCTTTCACTCCATTTTTAAATTCACATTTATTAAATCCAAATGCAAATGAAAAGCAATTTTCCAGGATTTTGTGTTTCTAAAACCATATTTTAATAATATAATTTCAATTGTATTAGTTTACTGGGTGAGTCTGACTGAGTTTGCATCTGTATTTGTGTGAGTTTGGCATTTTGTTTTCACCTTTGTGTTTTGGTTCTTTGTGTTAAGTGAGGAAGGGTGAAGAGAGAGAAAGAGAGAGTGAATTTTCATTTGGTTTCTGTTTTTTATGTTTAAAACAAGAAAAAAGCTAAGAAGATAATGATAGTAGCAGTGGAATCAAAACAGCAGTGAAAGAAAGAACAATAGCAAAGATAGAAACCTACAATTAAACCCACATGGAATTTGTGGGGATCACCCCTAAACATTTACAATTTCAAACTCATTGTTCTCAGATCTCTAGGATCTCAGAATTTCAGCCTTGATGCTTGTTTGTTTCTCGAGAAAATTATCTCTTTCCTTTTTCTACTCACCTTCATTCTAAACAAGACACTGTATTTATAATTCGGGTGTTTGGTTTCTTCATGTTTATGGAGTAGAGAAGAGAGCTTCTTTTTCTTTTGGTTTGGATAAGGCAGAGATGGACATTAGAGAGTTAAGTTGATGTGAGAATGAGTAGTGGATAGTTGTTGTATTAATATACGAAGTAAAGTTGCTTTAACCCATAAAAGACTATGGAACACAAGAGTTTCATGTTGTGGAGGCTGGTATTTCTTCTGGTTTTCGCATTAATGGAGATTTCTTCTGCTACACTTTCTCCTGCTGGTATCAACTACGAAGGTTAGTTTCGGTGTGTTTTTACTATTTAAATTAAATTATTTTTTTCCTGTTTCTGAATTGGGATAGTTTCTTTGTTGTTTTATGAGTAAATGCTTTGATGGTCTGCAAGACTATCTGAACTACTCCAATAGCCGCATAATTAAGATTTATTATTTCTCTTATTTAGTACTAAAAAAAATCTTTCTTTTACTTGAACAGTATTTTTTGGCTTTAAAATCCTTGTTTTAGATTTTTCACTCTATTTTTTATTGGATAATTTTTACCTAGAAATGAAGATGTGTTACCATGAAGTTGTTGGTAGAAAGGACTCCTCGTTTATTTATTTTCTTTTTCCTTTGAAATTGGAGCAGTGGTAGCTTTAGTGGCCATAAAAAGCAATCTACATGACCCATACAATGTTCTGGAGAATTGGGATATTACCTCTGTAGATCCTTGTAGCTGGAGGATGGTTACTTGCTCTTCTGATGGCTATGTTTCTGCTCTGTAAGTTGTTTGAATCTCTTCTGATAAAAACATGTTGTTATTTGAAATTGGACATAAAAACTATCACAATTCTGCAGCATTTTATTTGAGCAATTCTTTAAGTGGTTTGTATTTGCTTTGAATAGGGGGTTTCCTAGTCAAAGCTTATCAGGGACCTTATCTCCTTGGATTGGAAACCTTACTAACTTGCAATCAGTGTAAGTAATTACCTCTAGTCTAACTAAATTATTTAATATTGGGCTTGCACGGTCATGGATTTAAATTTGGGTTTCTTATCTCTCTATTGTTTGTGCTTTCCTTGTGAATTTTCACTTCTGGTCACCTAATGCAAAAGCAATTTAGTTGAGGCACTGCTCACTCTTTGCATGAATGTGCAGGTTGCTGCAGAATAATGCCATTGCGGGTCCTATTCCTGCTGCACTTGGGAAATTGGAGAAACTTCAAACACTTGATCTCTCCAACAATACTTTTACTGGTGGAATACCTGATTCTTTGGGGAACCTTAGAAATCTGAATTATTTGTAAGTTTCAAAATCTTTATACTGATTTCTTGTCTTGTAATTTCTAATTTGCATCAAACACTAGCTGTCATGCTTGGGATTGATTCTAATCCTTACATGTTCTATTGTTCCTTGAGCAAGTCAGGCGGTTAAACAACAATAGCCTTACAGGATCCTGCCCTGAGTCTTTGTCCAAGATTGAAGGTCTAACCCTCGTGTATGTATTTGAACTTCTGCACTCAATCCTTAACTTGGTTTTATGAAATGAATGAGAAAAATTCATTGTTATTTCTATGTGCATAGCTTATTAATTCTGTAAATAAAACCTGTTTGTAGGGACCTTTCCTATAACAATTTAAGTGGTTCATTGCCAAAGGTATCAGCAAGAACCTTCAAGTAAGCAATTCTTTCCCTGGCTCCAAAACTGTTATCTATTTTCTGGTCGAGTTGTTGTACTGGTGTTCTCTGTGATACTGATACTCTTCACTTACTTCAGAGTTATAGGAAACCCTTTAATTTGTGGACCAAAGGCCAACAACAATTGTTCTGCTGTCTTTCCAGAACCTCTTTCCCTCCCACCAAATGGTCTGAAAGGTTTCTCTCTTTAAGCTATGTTTGAAAATTTGATAGTCGACCAGTAAACTCTCCACAGTTGATGACATTTGTTAATTGATAGAATCTGTGATTTCTTAGATCAACCAGACTCTGGAATGAAGAGCCATCGTGTGGCTGTTGCTTTTGGTGCCAGCTTTGGTGCTGCCTTTTCTGTCATAATCATGATTGGTTTACTAGTTTGGTGGCGATATAGACACAACCAGCAGATTTTCTTTGATGTTAATGGTTAGTTTTTTATGTTTCGTTGTTTGTCTTTTTTCCTCTTTATATATATATATATATATATATGGATGTTGATGGTCAACAAGGACTAGTATAAGATTCAGATGTCCTAATTTTTCATCTGCTATATTGCTGGATTTTAGCACTACCTAAGGCATGCTAGCCTAACCAACTCTCCTAGGTGTAAGAGGCATGAACATTTAAAAGTGTGTGATTCACTTTACTATGTACAGTTTTTACAAGCTGTGGTTAGAAAGCTTGAAGCTCAAATTTTTGGAAATGAATAACATCTGGAGTTCCAATATCAGAGTTCGTTACCCATAGAGATTATTTCCAATCTATTTGTAAATTTTTATGGATCAGCTTATTTTCCTCTCATTTTACTGAGTTATATCTCAAATTGCTAAATATAAGTATAATAAATTATCTAAGTACCAATGGTTTTTGTTGCCCAGTTTATTGTGGCATGGCCTTCAGAAAATGGTAAAACCTGGTGTTGGGTTGCAGATGAATGATTAGGAACTTGGGGGGACGGGGCCCAGGCTGTTGTTCTAATTTGTTTATTAAAACATGGTTGTCAGATCATCTCTGCCTCATTTATTGAAACTGCAGTGGCAGCATAACATAATTCGTTCTTGTGTGTATGGCATATTATTTAATGTGTCTTTGCATGAACAATCCACATGTTAAGCTGCAAACTACATTATTAATTTCACCGACAAAAAGCTTTTATTTTGCTCAAATTCTCTGTTATCCATGCATTCTCATACATCATGTTTTCTGTGGCAGATCAATATGACCCAGAGGTAGGCTTGGGCCATTTGAGAAGGTATACCTTTAAGGAGCTCCGCACTGCAACCAACCATTTCAACTCAAAAAATATTCTGGGGAGAGGTGGATTTGGTATTGTATACAAGGGTTGCTTGAATGATGGAACTCTGGTGGCTGTGAAAAGGCTGAAGGACTACAATATAGCTGGTGGTGAAGTCCAATTTCAGACAGAAGTAGAGACAATAAGTTTAGCTGTCCATCGGAATCTTCTAAGGCTCTGTGGGTTCTGCACGACTGAGAATGAAAGGCTCCTTGTTTATCCCTATATGCCAAATGGAAGTGTAGCATCCCGATTAAGAGGTACTGAGCTTTCTAATTTTGTTCAAGTGGTTTAAAGTTTAAACATGAAATATTAATAATATCAAAAATTGATGCTGATCATCTCCACCTAGAAGTCATGTTTGTTAAATAACTTTCAAACATGATATTTGCTTATTGTTTTCTGAAACTCACCGTGGATTTGTTTCACATCATAACTCTTCATTTATTTTCATTCACTCATCCTTCTGAATTGGTCAAAGTTCCTTCATTTTCCTGGGGAAACTGTAATTTTTTGGAGCTCTAAGATTCAGTATATGTTGCTTTGATGTAATCATAACTGTTACTTTTACCTTCCCTTCAACTTCTCTATCTGGTTATAAGTTCTTCCATATGGTGTCTGCCTTAGAATAATTTCATCCAATGTGGGTTTTCAGATCATGTTCATGGTCAGCCTGCTTTGGACTGGGCAAGGCGGAAAAGGATAGCGTTGGGTACAGCCAGGGGCCTAGTTTATTTACATGAGCAATGTGATCCTAAAATAATCCACCGGGATGTCAAAGCAGCCAACATTTTGCTGGATGAAGATTTTGAGGCAGTTGTTGGGGATTTTGGATTAGCAAAGCTTTTGGATCACAGAGATTCCCATGTGACCACAGCAGTGCGTGGTACTGTTGGCCACATTGCTCCAGAGTACTTATCAACAGGCCAGTCTTCGGAAAAGACTGATGTGTTTGGTTTTGGGATCTTGCTGCTTGAGCTAATCACAGGTCAGAAGGCTTTGGATTTTGGACGAGCAGCTAACCAGAAAGGTGTCATGCTTGATCGGGTACTTTCATCTCTCTTTAACAGTATAGCTTTGATAATTAATTCATTTGATCCAAAATTAAATTGGCGAAAAGTTGAATATGTTGGGACTTGGAAATTTTATGTTTCTTCACCTGAGAATCTTGCAACGGGACCACTGTATGATTTGTACATTCCTCCTGATTGCATCATTGCAGACACAATTCATTGACATTCTCTTTCTACTTTTGTACTTAATGGTAGTTTGATCTTCCTCTAAATCTTGGTGCTAGTGTTTGAGCAACATGATTTTCTAATCTCTTAATAGATACCATTATTGCAAATGCTAAGTATTCTATGTGTGGGGAGAGATGACAGAACTTTTAGTTGCAAAGAGTCGGGTGTAACTTCCAGTAGTGTGTGAATAATTCAAATTCTATATTAATATATTTTGCAGGTAAAGAAGCTCCATCAGGAGGGAAAGCTAAGCCAAATGGTGGATAAGGATGTAAAGGGAAATTTTGACAGAATCGAGTTGGAAGAAATGGTTCAGGTGGCCCTCTTATGCACTCAATTCAATCCTTCTCATCGCCCAAAAATGTCCGAAGTATTGCGGATGTTGGAAGGTGATGGTTTAGCAGAGAAATGGGAGGCGTCGCAGAAGGTGGAGTCTGGGACACCGAAGTTGCGAACTTGTGAAAGAAGATACTCAGATTTTATAGAAGAATCATCACTTGTGGTAGAAGCAATGGAGCTTTCTGGTCCTAGGTGACTAGTAATATGAAATTGGTGTTGATAGCCGTTGAATGGGAATGCCATGTATTCATCTGTAAAAAGGAAAAAAGAAATTCATGTATAAGCTTCTTCTTGTTCTTGGTTGGAAAATCAATTGAGTTGATTGAGCTTCTTGTCAAAAGAAATTTTGGAATGCATTAGAAATATAAAATGTAGTTTGCCTTATTTTGATGTTAATTGGGTGGTTAGAATTAGGGACAGAATGATTATGCAGATCAACAGTAATCATTGTACGTGACAATGTGCAATAATCTCATAATTAACAGTTTCAAGCCCAGTCCCATCATCACCCAGCCCCAACACCACTCTCATCCAACCTCTTAATTCATTTCTTAATATGAGCAAACTATGTACGAAAATGATAGAGCTACCGAAGGTTGCGCACTGAATCTGTGCACTGAATGACGTGACAAAATCCTGACATTTGATTAATATTAACTGATAATAAACCAACAGTTAGGATTTTGCCACGTCATTCGGTGCACAGATTTGGTGCGCAACCTTCAGTGGTTGGAGCATTACTCAACTATGTATTGTCACTAGAGGTTTAGCGAAGTCTCAAATGTTTACTCTTAAAATAACGTTTGTCTCCTTTAATTTAACAGATTCTTCATCTTTAATTATAGCACGATGCACGTTAGAGTGTTAAAGTGCATCGACAATTTCTTTGGTAAAGAAGGGCTTATTTTAGCAAAAAGCAATTCATGTTAGTAGCATCCAACCAGCAGTTTTTGGCTTTTTCTAGCCGATTTCAAAATCTAAAATCACTTTCGAGATCATCTTGAACTCCCTACAACCTCTTCTACAAAACTCATACCTTCACTTATCGGCCTCATTCACTGTTTTCAACTACCTTTAATAGTCACCAACAATGTTAGTTTAAAGATGAGAATCTCCAATAAATGCAACTAGGGGGATCAACTTGAGATTTCGCTAAACCTCGAATAAGAATATGTCATTTACTCTTTATTTGACAGTATTAAAACTATTTAAAAGGGAAGTGATTTTCAGCTACTATCTAGTTCATCAAGTTTAAACTTAATTAAAATTATTAGAAATGACATTATAAATTATAAATATATTTTTGTATTTTTAACTTTTACCCTAAATTTTTAAAATCATTGAATTTTTTTGTTTTATTTTAAATATTTATACTATGGAGACAATAATCATATAATGGAATGAATATGAATTTAAAATAGAAATGTTAGAATTATTTATAATTCTTATAAAGTGGTCCATGTGAATTAAATATAATATAATGTTTAGAAATAATTAATTTAATTGAAGGGCATATTGGTCTTTAACCTTTGATGGAAAGGTGTGATGTTTGCAGTTAATTAAATAACTGCAATATAAAAGGTGGGTCCTCTCTCTATTCTCAATGTACGCTAAAAATTTTTCTCTGTCCATCAAGAGAGTTTGCAATTACAGAAGAGAAGAAAGGGAGAGAAACGTTGCCTATTTTTTATTCAATCAAGATTCAAGTTTTAATTTTCAAACTATGGAATCAGGTATGTATTTCTTTTATATGTATGTAATGTTAGACTTTTTGCAATATGGTCCTACACTTTTAATATAATTATATTTTGGTCCTTCCTGATGTGGACTGATGTGGTTATACGGTTGTGTCTCTTGAGCAGTTGTCTTTGATGGAAAGACAACTGCATATAAGAAGGAGACTTTACAGGTCCCCATGTGATGCAATTTTTATTTTAGATTCAAAACCATCACTCTAAAATTGCAGTCAGTGGAAGATCCTGTATTTGAAGGAGCAAGAAGATCAAACAACAATTGCTATGGCTGGAGGTTTGTCATTTACTTCCGCATATATTCCATGGAAATTGTATGTTGAAATTGATTGTATTATCAACTTTATATGAATATTGGAATATGAATGTATTTTACATTTGGTATCAGAGCATTGTTTGAATCTCTGCCTAGCATGAAGTTGTTTGTTGCAAATCTGAAAAAATATTGCATAAAATTTGGGATTTTTTCCATTAAAACCCGTACTGTAAATCAAGCATAACTTTTATTATAAATAGAATTTGTTTTCGATTTTGATGTCATTGGAATCCTTGTTGAAAAAGCTTTCCAACGGTATATTATTTGTCATTTACTAGTTTGGTGGCGATATAGACACAACCAGCAGATTTTCTTTGATGTAATGGTTAGTTTTATGTTTTGTTTGTTTGTCTTTTTCCTATATATATTATATATATATATGGATGTTGATGGTCAACAAGGATAGTATAAGATTCAGATGTCCCAATTTTTCATCTGTATATTCTGGTTTAGACTACCTAAGGCATGCTCAGCCAACCAACTCTCATGGTGTAAGAGGCATGAACCTTAAAAGTGTGATTCACTTTACTATGTACAGTTTTTAAGCTGTGGTTAGAAAGCTTGAAGCTCAAATTTTGGAATGAATAACATCTGGAGTTCCAATATCAGAGTTCGTTACCCATAGAGATTATTTCCAATCTATTTGTAAATTTTATGGATCAGCTTATTTTCCTCTCATTTTACTGAGTTATATCTCAAATTGCTAAATATAAGTATAATAAATTATCTAAGTACCAATGGTTTTGTTGCCCAGTTTATTGTGGCATGCCTTCAGAAAATGGTAAAACCTGGTGTTGGGTTGCAGATGAATGATTAGGAATTGGGGGGACGGGGCCAGGCTGTTGTTCTAATTTGTTTATTAAAACTGGTTGCCAGATCACTTGCCTCATTTATTGAAACTGCAGTGGCAGCATAACATAATTCGTTCTTGTGTGTATGGCATATTATTTAATGTGTCTTTGCATGAACAATCCACATGTTAAGCGCAAACTACATTATTAATTTCCCGACAAAAGCTTTATTTTGCTCAAATTCTCTGTTATCCATGCTTCTCATACATCATGTTTTCTGTGGCAGATCAATATGACCCAGAGGTAGGCTGGGCCATTTGAGAAGGTATACCTTTAAGGAGCCCGCCTGCAACAACCATTTCAACTCAAAAAATATTCTGGGGGAGGGGGATTTGGTATTGTATACAAGGGTTGCTTGAATGATGGAACTCTGGTGGCTGTGAAAAGGCTGAAGGACTACAATAGCTGGGGTGAAGTCCAATTTCAGACAGAAGTAGAGACAATAAGTTTAGCTGTCCATCGGAATCTTCTAAGGCTCTGTGGGTTTTGCACGACTGAGAATGAAAGGCTCCTTGTTTATCCTATATGCCAAATGGAAGTGTAGCATCCCGATTAAGAGGTACTGAGCTTTCAATTTTGTTCAAGTGGTAAAGTTTAAACATGAAATATTAATAATATCAAAAATTGATGTGATCATCTCCACCAGAAGTCATGTGTTAAATAACTTTCAAACATGATTTGCTTATTGTTTTCTGAAACTCACCGGGATTTGTTTCACCATAAATCTTCATTTATTTTCATTCACTCATCCTTCTAATTGGTCAAAGTTCCTTCATTTTCCTGGGAAACTGTAATTTTTGGAGCTCTAAGATTCAGTATATGTTGCTTTGATGTAAACAAACTTTACTTTTACCTTCCTTCAACTTCTCTATCTGGTTAAAGTTCTTCCATATGGTTCTGCCTTAGAATAATTTCATCCAGTGGGTTTTCAGTCATGTTCATGGTCAGCCTGCTTGGACTGGGCAAGGCGGAAAAGGATAGCGTTGGGTACAGCCAGGGGCCTAGTTATTTACATGAGCAATGTGATCCTAAAATAATCCACCGGATGTCAAAGCAGCAAACATTTTGCTGGATGAAGATTTTGAGGCAGTGTTGGGGATTGGATTAGCAAAGCTTTGGATCACAGAGATTCCCATGTGACCACAGCAGTGCGTGGTACTGTTGGCCACATTGCTCCAGAGTACTTATCAACAGGCCAGTCTTCGGAAAAGACTGATGTGTTTGGTTTTGGGATCTTGCTGCTTGAGCTAATCACAGGTCAGAAGGCTTTGGAATTTGGAAGAGCAGCTAACCAGAAAGGTTGTCATGCTTGATCGGGTACTTTCATCTCTCTTTAACAGTTAGCTTTGATAATTAATTCATTTGATCAAAATTAAATGGCGAAAAGTTGAATATGTTGGGACTTGGAAATTTTATGTTTCTTCATGAGAATCTTGCAACGGGACCACGTATGATTTGTACATTCCTCCTGATTGCATCATTGCAGACACATTCATTGACATTCTCTTTCTACTTTTGTACTTAATGGTAGTTTGATTTCCTCTAAATCTTGGTGCTAGTGTGAGCAACATGATTTCTAATCTCAATAGATACCATTATTGCAAATGCTAAGTATTATGTGTGGGGAGAGGGACAGAACTTTTAGTTGCAAAGAGTCGGGTGTAACTTCCAGTAGTGTTGAATAATTCAAATCTATATTAATATATTTTGCAGGTAAAGAAGCCTCAGGAGGGAAAGCTAAGCCAAATGGTGGATAAGGATGTAAAGGGAAATTGACAGAATCGAGTTGGAAGAAATGGTTCAGGTGGCCCTCTTATGACTCAATTCAATCCTTCTCATCGCCCAAAAATGTCCGAAGTATTGGATGTTGGAAGGTGATGGTTTAGCAGAGAAATGGGAGGCGTCGCAGAAGGTGGAGTCTGGGACACCGAAGTTGCGAACTTGTGAAAGAAGATACTCAGATTTTATAGAAGAATATCACTTGTGGTAGAAGCAATGGAGCTTTCTGGTCCTAGGTGACTAGTAATATGAAATTGGTGTTGTAGCCGTTGAATGGGAATGCCATGTATTCACTGTAAAAAGGAAAAAAGAAATCATGTATAAGCTTCTTCTTGTTCTTGGTTGGAAAATCAATTGAGTTGATTGAGCTTCTTGTCAAAAGAAATTTTGGATGCATAGAAATATAAAATGTAGTTTGCCTTATTTGAGTGTAATTGGGGGGTAGGGCATTTCCAACCCACACTATTTGGTGTGAAAAACGCCAAAATAGCGTGAAATGCTGCTCCAATGCAGCGCCATTTGCTGCACCAATTCGGTGCTCATGAATTTGGCGTGGCACTGTTTATGCACACCCAATTGGGTATTGTTCATTCAGCTTTTTTTTTTTTTTTTTAATTAATATAAACATAATAATGATATAATTAAAAAAATAATGAAAATTAAAAATAAAACTTTATTCAACGCAACATACATAAACTA